TTTCTAAGAAAATCTGCCCCATTTGGAGGTACAGTGCACCATGTCAAAAAAACATAAGGCAAGGGCCATAACTCTGATCTTGATCTGCATATGTAGCCCTTAATGATGTATACGTACTTGTCCACATTGAAGTCAGATGAGAAAAATGAAGGGATGGACAGAGCCAAAACTCGCAGTATATATTCTCCTGCCATACCGCATGGCGTGAATAATAATTATTAGACTAATTTTCTGAATATATCTTTGAACTCTGGCCAGAAAAATAAAATTATTATTGTTTTATGGATGAATCATTCTTGAATTCTGATAATTTTCATAGAAACACAGTAAAGTTGCCTCCAAATAAACAGGACTCTTAAAAATATCGTTCTGTTTCCTAGTTCATTAACTTGTCAATTAACACCAAGTACCCTGATATATTTTAGGAGCCTCTTGCATCTTGACAAAACATAAAAGGTAAAAATCTTCAATTGTCCACAACATTTTGATAGCAGTAATTGTAGATTCAAAGCTCGTCAACCTGACATGATGAAATAAAACATCAATGCAACCATGGTAACTGCACAAAATTAACAAAAATTTCTTAAGGACACTATGACCTCAGAATGTACAAAAAGATTGGAACAAATCTCTCGATCTTCCAAAGTCAACCCCCAAATCTTTCAATCCCTTCTCTTTACAGGAAGTGCTTCATCAGCTCGCACTCTCTGACAGTCTTGTCAATTTCATTTGCCATGAGAACCGACAAATCAATGTAGGTGTGGGTCAACAGATTCAAACATTACTCTATTTGATCAGCCATGCAGAAAACTAATAAAACGAGATTCAAAGTATACATCAATAAAATACATCTATAAAAAACTGGAGTCCTGACAAACAGACTTAGCATGAGACCTGTCTATATTTGTCGGATATTGTCAGTCATTCCACAGCAAACACTTAAACAACCCTAAGGCTCTGTACTGTGTCGACAGTGCTTTTCTGAATGAATGGATCAGTCAAATAGATTGTGGACAGCTACCGGCATCATTAAATGGGTGACAATATGGAAAACAAAATGGTGCTATTAAAGATGCATCATAAGCATTGTCCCTTAAACATATCCACCATGCCTGCAGTTATCAATTAAACATGCAACATTTTTTTTGCAAAAAGCAGACTTGTTATTTATAAATTAATGCATAATAAATATGCATTCATAAATAAATACACATTTTGATCACATTTCAATTTTAATACATAGGGTGACAATGCCAGGGACAATTAGTACTCCCAGCAGGCATAATGTCATTGAAAATCTCCTCGATTGAATATTATTCAAACAGTCAACAACAAGAAAGCTTGTGATCTGTTGCAACACGGCAGTTAACATTATGTTCATCAGATTAAATTTACAATTAAATAATCTCCCCAAAATATAAAAAAAGCTGTGAACTTCGAAAGTCTGAGAATAGCTGAATAAGATAAAAGTGCGGAGTTATCTTGTTATGAATTAGGAAAGGTAATCATGGTAATGGCAAAAGAATATAATATCTTAAAGAAAATTACATTTTTAATTCAAATTTAAATAAATTACAATGATTTGGTTGGTTGGTTGGTTTGTTGTTTAACGCCGCACTCAGCAATATTCCAGCTATATGACGGCGGTCTGTAAATAATCGAGTCTGGACCAGACAATCCAGTGATTGACATCATGAGCATCGATCGATGACATGCATCAACCAAGTCAGCGAGCCTGACCACCCGATCCAGATAGTTGCCTTTTACGACAAGCATAGTCACCTTTTACAATGAGAAAAATAAGTTATTTTTAATGTTATATCAACACAGACACATTTGGAAGAAACAAAATACTTGTACGATTGCAATATTCATTCACTGGTTCCACTTTTATATGTTTCATTATTGTTTTCCATGTCTGATTACTTCCCGTACTGAGTTTTAAAGAAACCTTGGAACCTTGTGGAACAAGCACTCACGACTATTCAGGGTCTCCTTTTCATTATTGTGACACAATTTCTAACACATTTTCTGAATTTAGTGGTTTCGTTAAAACTAAAACTGAAAAACCATGACAACTGACAACTAGAAAATGTGAAACACATATACCAAAAATGAATGGTCACAGACAAATTAGAAATGAATGAATTTCCTATACAATTACCCATGAACCCCCATGTCCCCTCGGACTTTAACAGAAGTATTACAAATAGACAACAGCATCATGGGTGCCATGGAATCACTCTGATAACATGAAGACAATCAAACCTAGACTGGAAATGAGAGTTGGTGAGTTGGGTCAGTCGCCTCGTACGACATGCATAGTCGTCTTTTACGGCAAGTATGGGTTGCTGAAGACCTATTCTCCCCGGATCTTTACAGCTGTAGTATCAAGGTAGACAGGATCATAGGGCAACCTATCATCCCAGTTCCCAGTTTCAGTACAGATAAAAGCACCTTTATCAAGCAAGTTATACCCAACTGACTTGATAAGCAATCACATCAGTACTGAAATGTCATACTGAAAGAATATAAAAAAATGTTGAAAGCAATAAGTCAATCCTGTCTTCATCATATTCATCACCAACTTATGTGATGTCAATGCGATATGATCTACGATTAATTGAAACGGTTTTCGAACAGATATTTCACAGTGCTCCTACCTGTGAACAACCTACATAAATGACTATTTTTACTCCATTTACATACAGTTGCCATTTGACAAAAAAAGCCATCAACGATGAAAGCAGAAGCTACAATGCAAAGGGGCATTGATGAAATATTCATTACAAAAATCCCATCACGATAACGTGAGTCATGTTTTACTTTTCATAATCAACATTTTTTATGACCATCAGTAATTCACAACCCTTGAAATATGTTTATACCGTGAGTGTATGAAAACTAGCTGAGGTGTCAAATGTCCCCTCTCCATCACATACCCTGCTGTGCAGATTATCAATGGCTGAGAGGCTACAGCCTGGAGATATTCAAACAAAATGTGATGTGTACTTTAAACACGAAGACTGAGTACGAAACCCCGGGTTCTCAATGGCTAAGGTAGTACAGCCTGGAGATACTGAAAAAAAATTGTGATGGGTACTTTAAATATGTAAAGTGAGAACAAAACACCAAGTTTAGGAGTGTTCGTTGGTTTGTTGCTAACATCACTGGCTCAGCAATATCCAGCTATATGTGTGTATGTGTGCATGCTTGTTGTTAATACAAAAATACTGTAGCTGTATGAAGGTGGCCTATAAGTAATCAAATCTGGACCAGACAATCTGGTGGGTGATATAATGAGCATTGAGGACACACTATCCATCAAGTCACGAGCCTGACCACCCAATCCATTAAGTTGCCTCTAGGTTGCTTTGAAACAATTCTACCAGGATTCCCACCGTGGATAATTGCTGAGGATAAAAAGGGTTAACCCCCGGGATGTGCTACCAGCAGGATCTTTGGGACATAAGTCTGGTGGGTTTCTATATCAGAGTCTTTTATCCACCTCGAATGTTTAGCTAACAGGGATAATTGGTGAGGATAAAAAGGGTTAACCCCCGGGATGTGCTACCAGCAGAATCTTCCAGACACAAGTCTGGTGGGTCTCTATATCAGAGTCTTTTATCCACCACGAATGAGGTTTCTACATCCGTCCCACCCCCTCCCCCAACCTCACACTGTGTGCATGACATGTCACACTGGACAACGGGTAAAGCATATCCTGTTGCATCTATTATAACACACTATTCATGTTCTACCAAGTGAGTCATGCTTTGGTTATGAATTCCCAGGTTGTTGGCCCAGTACATTCAGGTTACATATTATATTTCAACAAGGTGGAGACAGTGCTTAGAGAAACACATGATGACACTACAGCGTTAGAAATTGGAACTATTCCTGTAGTCCTTACCAAACTGCCCAATAGTAAAGGTATCCTTAGGACTAGTAGAAATTGGCCCATTTTAAGGGGTTTGCTATATGTTATCATTATAAGGACTAGTGGACAAAAACTGTTAGTTTCTAACCCTGCACTATATTAAAGCTGATTCTGACTGGACACACATATTCAGAAACCTACTTCCGACCAAACGTAACTATGACCTGGTACACAAATAACAAATATATTCTATCAATGAACTTTGTTTTCTATTCAGGTCCAAATTATTATTTTTATATCCATAAGGGAAATAATTGAACCGAATAACCTTTTACATAAAAAGTTACAATATCATTTTGATTCTGCCGGTTCTCTCTAGCTCACTCAAGCAAAGGCCTCACCTGAAGCCTTATAATAGCATTTCTCTTTCCCTCCCAAAAAGTAAAAATATATTGTAATCGATGCTATGCAGTAAACTTAATTATCTAAATAAATATAGTCTTTAATTGTTCTAGTTTTTAAAAAGGACTTCTTTGCCTCCCCCACCATCAGGTAGTTTTTGGGGAAGCATCCATAGAACAAGAAACCAAACTGGTCTGGCCTTACAATAAAAATATGTAAAGAAAACCTATTGATTTTATGTGTGTTAAGAAATGTTATGCATTATTGTTTTACCTGCTCTTTTCATATTACTAGTATGTCTAAACAGCTTCAGAATACTTTAAAACTGAGGGTTAAGCAAAAACTACTATAAATTAAAACCCAAATATTCAAACATAACCAAAATGTAATCAAAATTATTAATAGATATTTTCAACATTATTAAAGTTAAATAAAAATGGAATATTGTTTAAACTGCTCTTTTCATAACACTAGCATGTCTACAGAGCTTAGGATACCATAAAACTGAGGGTTTAGCAAAAACAACTGTCAAATAAACCTCGAATATTGAAATGGATCCAAAATCCAAATGTAATCCAACTTTACAGTTTTAAACATTATCAAAGTGCACAAAGCCATGAACATAAGCCAGTCCTCATCTTGGTAGTGTGACCAGCTCAAGCACAACAGGGAATATCATACACCGCTTCTATGCTCAGTGCGTCTTTGTATATTTCAGTTTGTAATGGGCCTGCCGGTGAAAGGAGCTGTACGAAGGACGAGTGACGTACAATAGAGACACCCATGGTCGACAAGACGGGTGTATGAAGAATAACTTAAGCTGCAGTCATTTACACGAGGTCTACCCTAAATGGATTGGCAGACTCGGGATACTTGTGGAGGTGGTACGTGAAAGTGATGTCATCTTGAGCTGGCAAGTGTGTACAAGCCAGACATCAGATGTAAACTGTACAGGGTGATTCAACTGTACCTCTATGAAGGACAGGAGTGGTCTTGTAATGAACTCTCAAGCATCAGTGAACACGGCTGTTATATACAGAGATTCTCATAAATAGGATACAATATTGATCTGAAAGTGTTACACTCCATCATCATAGTACGGGTGAACATTGTGTGAAAAAGTGTTGCATACAGAAATATCAACACTCTCTTTAGTGTGAAGGATTCAATTCTGATTGGTGTTTTACTGCCAGATACTGGGAATACAGGCACAGACCTATACATACAAGATGGATCCTTGGTGAGAGTGTTGTTGTGAAGGATACAATTCCGACTGGAAGTTATACCATAGATACTATAGCCCTGCTGGACACAAGGGAATATAGTCACTGTTCTACATGCAAGAAGAGTTTTGGATTTGCAATATCAGGGTGACAGCGTTGTATAACATGTGATTGGAAGTTATATCATATAGTTATATACCATAGCCTGCCAGACACACAGGAATAGTCACTTTCTCCATAGGAGAAGGTTTTACTTCAGCAATATCAGGATGAGAGTTGTTTTACTTGTGGGAACATATCCTCCTACACTATTGACAAAATGTGTCACTTAGTCTCCACTTAACTCACACCAGACAGTTTGCCGTGAATATGATGTTTAAACTTAGGGCTGTGGAGAGTCAGCATTCATGAACACATTGACAGATTTCCTGATACATAAAAGATACAGAAATATACCCATTGTAAGTCTGAAGTGTTGAAGGTCCCTATTCAATAAGAGCAATGGTGTAAGGCTGTATGACAGGGACAAGCTATAAAATCTGTTTGAACAGTGACCGTGTAGTGACAATAATAAGTGCTCAAGAACCCATCCCTTATAAATCTTGAAGTTGTAAGATAACTATCTATTAGGTGTTTCAGATCCTTTAGATATTCCGCAGCAAGTGAGTCACATCTTGGAGCAAGTACTTTTATTCCCTAGCCAGATACAGGTTTGCCAGATAAGTTGAAATAGTTTGATGATATTATTTCATTAGAAGGTGATGTGCTAGTCAAATGTGTTGTTTCATCTTTTACTGTACAAGATCTTCATCAATTGGAATACTGCGTGCGGGAAAGGAGTAAGACTAGACTGAGTCTATCAAAGATAATAGACAAAATATTGGTGACACTGGGGAAGTTTGGAAAGAGTTTAGCATCATGAACGACCTCTCCACCAAAAAGCGTCATGCCTACACCAATGGCTATGCTAACAATCTTCATCACACCATCTCCCATAAGCCTGTCACTGGCACCAAGTCTATGGGTTTCACTCATAGGAAGCAGGGACAGAAATATGCCACCACAAAGTCTCTCCCTCCGAAAAGTCGTCAGTCACCATGGATGTCGGTGAGTAGAAATGGTGGGTCCGGCAATAATTCTACATATCGAGGACCTCATGGGAGGTTGGTGCACTCCTCTACAGCCTTCCATAAACATCTTAAAGAGAAGAAGGAAAAGTCAATTTCCTATTTTGATTTTGAACTGGAAAAATCTGAGAAATATATCCATCGACCTGGAGAGGAACTCAATGGATCAATTCAAATGGATATTACCAAAAATATTGAGATCCGTTTTCTAGAACTGGTTGTGGTAGGTCAGGGCTCTGTGACAATTAGGAAAAATAAAAATGGTGTCCAAAAAACACAGAAAGAAACTTATCTGTGCAAAAGATCGTATGTCATTGGGACATCCGATGCAAGATGGACGTCTGTGTTGACCCCTGGTCACTACGTATCTACGTTCAAGGTCAAACTGCCAAAGAACCTCCCAAGTTCTCTCCACTTCCATGACACAGCAAGTGGATTTTCGGCTGACATTGGCTACTACCTAAAAGCCCGACTCTGTGATGACATAGGCTCTTCCTCCACCAGAAGCATAGTATCTGTCAACAACGCTGTCAAAGTGCTCTTCTCCAAGAGACAGATATTCAATGTTCAAAGAGCATTTGATGTTCATTTGATCCCAAATGCTATGACCCCTGTAGTTCACGATGAGGAGGTGATTCTATCATGTGGGCCAAACAGTGTAGCAAACTTTACACTATCTCTAGACCGAGCTGTGTTTCTTGCTGGTGATGACATTCGACTTCAGATTTCATCCCAGATTCCATCATCACAGAAGATAAAAGACATCACTTGCACTCTGCGGCAGCATGTTAATCTGAAGGAGATCGGAGTGAAGGAATGCTACATCCTTGCTGAAATCAGCAGAAACGCTCCCCAAGAAGAAACTTTGGATGTCACCATTCCAACACAAACTCATCTTATCTCATCTTTTCTCACGGGCAGTAAGAATCTAAAAGTCACGTACGCTCTTGATGTTGACATCAGAATGAGACCTGCTGGAGGCAAGGTGTCCTTTTCAATCCCTATTGCGATGGGTCCCTGCGCTGAGCCCATCTATGCTGAGAAGACAGCCTCCCGGAAATTTGTACCTGTTTTCAATCGACCAATGAGGTTTCCTTGTTTCTCAGACTCACAAAAGAAGAGCCCTGCCCTTATGGAAGATCGCATTTCTCGGAGCTCGCAGTCTATCAATGTGACGACAAAGTACAGCAACACCCCTTTAAGTCGGTGCTTCTTGTGTTGCTTCATGGGATCAGCAGTGGACTAGGTTCCAGCTCACCTTTATCACCAATGATCACAAAGTGAAACCCCAATTAGCTGGACCCCGTTAGTCTGGAAACCTCATTTTCTGGATAATTACTGTTCTAAATGTCTGAAAATACACAAGGGACAATAAACTGTAATAAAGTCCAGAAATCTTGAATTTCACCGTGAATGGTAAATACCACCAACGGGATTTACTAGGTGTGCTGGTTCCAGTTGTGGATGACTTCAAGGTCTAGCATGCTATAGGAACATTGAGAAAATAATCAACCAGCCGATAGTGCTGGTGAGTCAATAACAGACTGCAAGACTAACCAGCCTCTGATGATGGTGAGTGAAACTGTGTGGAAGGCACTGATTGTCAGTCAGTGTCCAAGACTCATGTGAGGGCAATGGATGTGTGATATCAGTGATCAGATATACCTTTCATGAGGAGAGCGTGTTCTTATTGCCAGTTTTACCATAGATAACAAATTTCTTTTATACTAGGATCAAGTCAGCTGAATATATGTGTGTGAAACTGAAGACTGACTGCTCTTTGCATACACGATACAGGAACAATAGCACTGTTGATTGTCATCATGAACCAAATTGAAAAGTTACACAGCTTATTTTCAAATATAGACACTATATGGTTGTGTATGAAACAATTATCTCCTGAATTCTGTGTACTTGAAAACATTAGCAGGGTAAACAAGACTTTTCAAAGCGGTACTGATGGCACTGCCACATGGTAAGTAACTGGGATTGACCAGGCTTGAGAGGGATCATTGAGTGTGTTGTACTGATACTACCATAGTAATATCATACCAAGGTCATCCAGAATGCCCTTCACAAGGAGATTTGAACCTAGGTCTCAGTCCTAGCAAGCAACACCTCCTCCAGAGGGCCACCCAATTACCCAGACTGGGATCCAACTGACACTGATACCCAGGGTTGAACGTGAATCCTGCCAGACTGATGCAGTGTCAGAACTAGGAGGTGTCCTGGAACCCTTGAGGTTTGCTCCTATGTTAGTTGAATCAAGGTACCCCCTAAATGTTTATCTTTTAACATCAGGGCAAGCTATGAAAAGGATGCCTTGACTTTCATACTTAATTCTGAACACAGCTGATGGGTTATTCCAGTTTCAAAGTGTTGTTTTAATGCTTCAGAAATCACAATATGAAACAAGAAATGATATCAAAATATAGGACATTGTACAGTGAATGAAGGAATTGTGTCATCTATCCAAAACATAACCAATGTGATATATGAATGGTGCTTATCGAGGCCAAATAAGAAATGTGGAGCATCTCTGGTAACACATTATGTAAATTGGAAATATATTTTATGCTATGAAAAAGGGGATAGAAAACATTCTGGTGGGAGATAGATTAACATACTTATTGGTACTCTGTTTCAATGGTCGTCTCACTCAGCTATCGTGTGTACCCCAGCTGCAGTATGAAACAAGTTACAGTCAAACCCCATCGTCTCCAACCCCGTCGTCTCCAACCCCGTCGTCTCCAACCCCGTCGTCTCCAACCCCGTCGCCTCCAACCCCGTCGCCTCCAACCCCGTCCTCTCCAACCCCGTCCTCTCCAAACCCGTCCTCTCCAACCCAGTCGTCTCCAACCCCGTCATCTCCAACCCTGTCGTCTCCAACTCCAGGGAGCCAGAGACTCCACCTTATTACCTTCTGACCTACCCATCAGAAACCAAGTGTACCACATCGGGCATGTTATGTAAATAACATTCTAAATTTATTCATTTTCTTCATATCATGGAATTATCAATTTGGAATATGAGTTATCAGGGCATGTATTAACTTATTTTTAACTTTTCGGACGAAAAATTGAGTTTGTGAATACCAGGGATTTGACACATCAAGTTCGACACATTCAGTTTAAAATAGTGATAAATATCGTAAGAGTTTGACGGGACCAGACTGTAAGTCCAGTGATTTGACACATCCAGTTCGACATATTCAGGTTAAAATAGTGATAAATAAAGTAAGAGTTTGACGGGACCAGACTGTAAGTCCAGTGATTTGACACATCCAGTTCGACATATTCAGGTTAAAATAGTGATAAATAAAGTAAGAATTTGACGGGACCAGACTGTAAGTCCAGTGATTTGACACATCCAGTTCGATATATTCAGGTTAAAATAGTGATAAATAAAGTAAGAGTTTGACGGGACCAGACTGTAAGTCCAGTGATTTGACACATCCAGTTCGACACATTCAGGTTAAAATAGTGATAAATAAAGTAAGAGTTTGACGGGACCAGACTGTAAGTCCAGTGATTTGACACATCAAGTTCGACATATTCAGGTTAAAATAGTGATAAATATCGTAAGAGTTTGACGGGACCAGACTGTAAGTCCAGTGATTTGACACATCCAGTTTGACATATTCAGGTTAAAATAGTGATAAATAAAGTAAGAGTTTGACGGGACCAGACTGTAAGTCCAGTGATTTGACACATCAAGTTCGACATATTCAGGTTAAAATAGTGATAAATATCGTAAGAGTTTGACGGGACCAGACTGTAAGTCCAGTGATTTGACACATCCAGTTCGACATATTCAGGTTAAAATAGTGATAAATATCGTAAGAGTTTAACGGGACCAGACTGTAAGTCCAGTGATTTGACACATCCAGTTTGACATATTCAGGTTAAAATAGTGATAAATATCGTAAGAGTATGACGGGACCAGACTGTAAGTCCAGTGGTGTGACACATCAGAGTTTGAGACAGTTCATGTTCAACATTTCTTATCTGGCCCAATAGTTCTAGTAATGCTGCACATAGATATTGTAGTTTTGGTAAAACCAAATGATGTATGTACAGAACTAAATATATATATCAGAATCTGATCATTCTGCACCACAGTATACAATACAACATTCCTACACCTATCAGGATAAGACACGTCTTTTCATGACAATAATTCACTTTTCATAACTTTGTTCCTCTTCCTGAACAAATTCTACACAAGGGATATAGCAGACACAATTGTGCCTTAAAAATTGCTAATTGCTGCTTGCAAACAGATGAATATAATCTTTACTTTTTATTAAAAGATCTACAAACAATGCTTAAAGTATTTCTTGCCCTAGATGCATGAACACATTAATCAAGCCAGACTGTCCTTCAGAAAAAAAAATCTACAATGTAAATGTCTTTGTAAGAACAACAGCTGCATATCTTCAGATACACTGTTTTACATAATACATGAATATAGGAAAGTTGAGGATTCGTGTTTCACCAATCTGTCTGGGACTTTACCAACATGCCTCTTGTAAATAAAGGACGGTGTTTGGGGAAAGGGTTGTACAACACATTGCAATTCAGTCTACACCTGATGTCATTCATTATGTTTACACAACAAAAGGACCAATGTAAAGACTCTACAGCCATTACATGCAGCCTGACACAAAATATTCTACCACTTCATCACGTCATTTGTTAACAATTTTCATCCATGATCATATACACGGTTTAGAAAAGAATATATTATTGTACATCTGATTCATACTAACATAAATGAAAGTATGAGTTGAACAGTGTGAGAGGTAGTCCATGTCCGTGAATGTAAGTGTCTAGACTGTGTAGACCTTGTAGAGGCTAGACAGGTGTTCACTGGGTACATGCAGGAACAATATCAAATTCATATGCCCTACTTTCCTACCATGTCAGAAAAACATGTTAGCCATGCTTCAAATGTCGTACCTTTTATGATTAAAAATTTTGCACAAAGGACTTCGTGCTTTCATTTATACATGTGTCAATATGTCAAAATCTTGTTACTGGGGAAGGAACCGGTCAAGCATACTGACGGCTCGTGCTTCAAGAATGTTATCAATACGTTCACCCTTCTTCAAGTTGACATTCAGCTCGTGTATGTTGTATGTAAGTTAAGTAACAAAGGATTGTTCAGGCAAGCCTGTGTATCCAGTACATTATTACATTCACATGTTACCGGGAGTTACAGGGTAGATGTATTTAAATCTGTATGTACAGGTCTGTCATGCTACAGAACATACTGTAATTTCTATGGAATGCAAGGCGTTGTTCATAGGACAGTTCATCCAACAGTCATGGTGCTAAGATTGAATCCTTGTTTTCTCCCCTTAATGTCGGGTGCCAGACAGGGTAACAACAAGTACCATCTTTTAAAGCCTGTTGGTATGACACAGTCAGGGATCGAACTACCAACTTTATTTTGCTCTCCGGGCAGATGCTCTGTCCACTACACCACATCGGTGGTCACATAATCTACACAGACACGTTTACAATAATTGGGGAGCTTACAAGATTTCATATACACTAACACAGAATTGCTGGTCGAAGATCTCTTACTCTAGTATGATGTCATTGGTACAATGATGAACAGGTCACCTGGTCTGACCACCATCAGTTTAGTTACCATACAACAAGCATAGCTTGCTTTGTTTTGTTTGTTTGTTGTTTAACGCCGCACTCAGCAATATTCCAGCTGTATGACGGCGGTCTGTAAATAATCAAGTCTGTACCAGACAATCCGGTGATTGACATCATGAGCATCGATCCACACAATTGGGATACGATGACATGCATCAACCAATTCGGCGAGCCTGACCACCCGATCTCGTTAGTAACCTCTTAAGACAAGCATAGTCGCCTCTTATGGCAAGCGTGGGCTGCTGAAGACCTATTCTACCCCGGATCTTCGCGGGTCAGGTCTGGTAACCTTTATTAAGAAACCCCACAGGCAGACATGTTTCTGAGTCCAATGTATGTGTGGGTCGAAGCATATTTTTCTCACATTTGCAGCATGAAAACATGAATTACACTAGCAGTAAATGAGGCAATGTTCTTTTACATACAACAGGACCATACAAACAAGTGGTTGATAGCAAGGAAAATGCACCACGAAAATGCATCAGGTCATGACACACAATCAACCAGTTTTAAGTCACGGGATCTCATGATCCCAGTCTCATCAAATCAGACCTTTTCCTCCAATACCAGCGTTAGAACTTGGCACTAGTCCTATAATCCTTGCCAAACTGCCCAATGGTTAAGGTATCAATACTATCATAAAGACTAGTATAAATTCGCCGTCTTAAAGGGTTTTGCTATATGTTATCATTATCAGGACAAGTGGACTAAAACTGTTAGTTTCTATATATCGCTGCACTACTGCAACTCTGCATGATGATCTAATATCTAATCAGTCAATCAGCGTCAAGGCTTCCAAATTCTTGGTACGAGTGAGTTAAGCACTCAGACCAGCATATCTGATTTCTGTATCTCAAAACGAACATAATAGAGGAAATCAGAAAGCGAAAATATTATGCCATGCAAAAGTATTGCTGTGGATATTAATACATCCTGTGGTTTGTAAGCGGCAGGATATCTACACCCAAAAGGGTTTTAATGGAGGGAATTAATGTGTTCTGTGGCAGTTTTCTCTGGCATATACAATATTCGACGTAATAAGCGCAGATGCAGACAGGTATTGTAAACGATCTTACCGTACATCGCTGTGTATAAGGCAAGTTTTTCGTACGTCGAATTAGGGGGCTTTCGAGGGGGGGGTCATCTTATACACAGGGGGAAATTTCGGCAAAATCGGAAGATCGCACAACTCATCGTTATATACAGCAACCACAGTCATATTACCGCTATTGATGCTTTTATTCGCTTTATAGACAGGGAATATAAATTAGCATTGATTTTAAAGGCTTGTACAGGGAGGTCGTCTTATACATGGGGTCGCATTATAGATGGTGATATACGGTATTTAAATCAGATAGGCTTGATCCCAATATATCCAAGCCAGGGGTACATGGGGACTATTCTGACCTTGAATCCCAACAAGAAAATTACAATGACAAGGCACTATAGAACATGAGTCAGTTGTGCCATCAGCCACAATTGTTATGCCATGTCATGTTATGTTATGGTAAGAAAATGTAGTGAAATAAGTGCTGTGTACATCCGTGTCGCTATGGTGCCCTCTCATAAATCGATGGATATCTGATGACCTCTTACTGATGCAAGGATTGATTACCAATGGAAGGAAAGTGCAGAACATGTCTACTTAGAGATTATTGCTTTGTGGGAACCGAATTATTGATGACTAAAAAATATAAGTCTGACAAATGCAGAACTTATGTATTGATGTACATTTTTCACGAACCTGTTTATGTATTATTTTATATAGAAATGTATGTATTCCCACTGAGGAGACAAAGACACAACTAATTATTATTTGATTGATGAGGCTCTAATGAAATGTATTTTGCTGTTACACTTTTGCCCAGTGGAAAGAAATAGAATTATTTTTTAATGGGTAAGATGGCCTCTGTCAATATGATGAGTGAGTTTTAAGCCGCTTTTAGCAATATTCCAACAATATCACGGCCGGGGGACACCAGAAATGGGCTTCACACATTGTACCCATGTCGGGAATCGAACCCGGGTCTTTGGCTTGACAAGCAAAGGTTTTAACCACAAGGCTACCTGACCGCCCCCTGTCAATATAGACAAATAAGACTATACCATACAATGAATATCTACCAATCTGTCCTTTCTTTCATTTCCTACGCATCCAACAAATTTGTGAAAAACGGCTATAACAAGACACAGACTTACATCAGGGCTGCATGTGCAGTGTTACCTTCATGTGAAGACAGACTCTCAGTTTGCAGCATAAATAATGAATCTATATTCAGCTGCCTTCCTGTTAGGATTTGTTTGTTTGTTTTTTAAAGCTGCACTCAGCAATATTCCAGCTATATAACAGCGGTCTGTAAACGTGGTAAATAATTGAGTCTGCACCAGACAATCCTTTGATTGACTGACATCATCATCAGAGCATAGATCTATGCAATTGTGATAATTGACATTTATCAACCAAGTCAGTGAATATTACAACCCGATCCCGTTAGTCACTTCTTACGACAAGCATGGATCTTCATGGGTAGTCGTTTAATGGCACACTCAGCAATAGTCAAGCGAAATGAACTTGATCTGTAAATAATTGAGTCTGTACCAGACAAACCCGAGATAATAATGTTAGCAACAATCCACGCTGTCTGGGCACGCTGACAAGCAATCAAGCAAGTCACCAAATCTGACCACTCTATCCATCAAGTCACCTCCTAGTATCAGCATAGGTTTATAGGGACCTATCCTTACCTGGAATCCTCACATGGGTCAAAACAGTGTAAGTCTCGTCAATACTTGTGCATACATATGCAAGTAAATTGATAGACAGGATATTTTGGGAGCGATTAATAAAGGAATTTTAGGTTTGATATTCCACAATACTCTTCATCCTGTAAACATGAAGATATGAGTATGCTAGAGTTATCTCCCTTTATCAAACAAATTTATGCACCCATCACTGCTCTTCAACGGATGAAAATTAACCTGAGTGAGTGAGTGAGTGAGTGAGTGAATGAGTGAGTGAGTGAGTGAGTATGGTTTTATGCCGCTTTTAGCAATATTCCAGCAACATCACGGCGGGAGACACCAGAAATTGGTTTAACAAATTGTACCCACGTCAGTAATCGAACCCGGGTCTTCGGCGTGACGAGCGAACGCTTTAACCACTAGGTTCCCCGACCACCCCGAAATTAACCTGAAGCATACAGTAGCCTAAATAGTGATAATATGACACCTCCCAGAAAACCTGATATCTTACAACCCTCATGATAATTTTAACAGAAGACATCCGGTCTCAGGCTTGGGAGCCTGTGCCAAATTGCATCCCTGCAGATATTTGAAAAGCAGTTCATTATTCAAATGACAGTATGCCTGTTAAAATACTTTGATAAAATGTGATATAAATTACTGGTCCAGATTTATGGAAAATAAGTCCATGTGCACAGTGATCAGGAGTGTATCTCACGACGGAGATATTTGTTCATATTTACCATATAGGTAATTGGAGTTACCTCCCTTGGAGTTAGAGATGCAATCAGGAGTGTATCTCACGACGGAGATATTTGTTCATATTTACCATATAGGTATTGGAGTTACCTCCCTTGGACTTAGAGATGCACATGTGTAAAGTTCCACATTGTGCATTTGCAGCAGTCTGAGCTTGTCACCATGACAGCAAGGAAGTACCGTATTCGACGTAATAAGCGCCCCGCTCTAATAAACGCCCATGGCGATATTTGCTAATATATTGACTAGTGAACAATTCCAATTCCATCCGATTGATCAATGTACACAAGACTTTTTTATTCGTGTATAGTACACACTCGTGTGTTAAATGCACCCTTAATTATGGGCAATTAAATTCTTGAAAAATATATCTGTCGTGTAAAATACACACAGACTTTTCTTTTGTATCATTTCAGGCTGTCAGCATAAAACCCGAAATTTACGATCTTTCAACTCTGTTGTTTTTCACCAAAATTTTTCTCAAATAAGAGCCCCCTATTTCTAATTTTGAGAGCGCCCTAGGCGCTTATTATGTCGAATACAGTATGTGGGAGATGACTTCAGTGCTCAACTGTTTGAGGTTTATCCCAGCTATATTAGTGCAGCCTATAGATAATCTTGGATCTGGATCATGCAAACTTGTGATGTACATGTATTTCACTGATACTGCATGGGTGTGGGTGGAGTAGTGACACTGTATGTCTGGTGGATATACTTGGATGTGGGTGGAGTAGTGATACTGTATGTCTGGTGGATGTACTTGGATGTGGGTGGAGTAGTGATACTGTATGTCTGGTGGATGTACTTGGATGTGGGTG